GAAGCATTACCTGATTTTGCTACATTTGACCAACTATGAAGAGGCTCACTTCAAATTTTGCTTCATGGGACAACCTACCAATCAGAGTAAATGGAGGTGGATCATCAGCATGGTGTTACCACTCAGCTGCGATCCTGGTGGTATTATGACCCACAGATTACTCAGACAACATTCCCAGGGACTAGGGAAGGGTCTTCCAATAATCAACTGTCCTAGAGGTCACCTTTCATTCAGTTCCAAATTTTGCTCAAGTGAACATACAATTTTGTGTCAAAAATGAAAAAAAAAGAAACTATTCTAATAGCAGGATTTAACAGCATTTTATGTAGTACTTAACTATATCAAAAATTTCTGAAATAATGCAATAGTTGGCTAAGCTTAGAAAATGCTTTACATCAAAATATTTTTTCATTTGGCAAAGGTTGACCAAGTGGTTATTCTGTGGACATCCATAGTGCAAAGTAATAAAAAATAAAACAGCATATTAGCCTCTGCTTTTAGGGATCCCACAGTTTAGCTTGTTTCATGAATATATAAAGTGTTATAGAATATTAGATATTAATGGCATACTTTGTCCGTGTTCATAGGATTACATGAAACATATACAGATACTAAAAACAATGGGCACTCTTTTTTGCTATGGGAACTACTACTACTTTGAGAAGACAGTGAGTGGGTGCAGGAATTTTTCCCTAACACAGACAAGTAGGGAGAATGGATGTGGCACATTTTCCTAGAATGGTCTGGAAATTCTAAGGCCTTTGTTGATAATCTCTCTCCTTCTTAGAGACCAAGATTTGATTGGTGATTATTCTGTCCTATTAAAATGACAAAGTGACTTCTTTTGTTAAGTTAGATGAAAGATTAGGAAAGAGGTTATAAAGCAAATATGTGCTAGTCAAAAGTTTACAGCCGAGAACAGAAAGCTGGTGGATTACCAGGATGCTGGGATTCACAGTAACACAAAGATCCAGGAGGCAAGTAATCAGGTGATGAGGAAGGACAAGCCCTTTGTCAGGCAGGGAGAAGGCAGGGCTCAGAGTCCAGGAGGACATACTACTTTAAAGTACAGTTATTACCAGTGAGTAGAATGAGCGAAAGAAAATGTGTGCCTTTGGTAGAGTTTCTGATCCTCTGTCCTTTCATACATTCTCTGATTAGTTACAAAGGCCTTCACAATTTATACCTGCTAATATGAGGAAGAAAAGGATGCAGCCAGTGCTTGAGAGGTCCTTGGAACTCTGTGCCCTAGCAAACCTTGGCAGTGTGTCTGACGATTGCATTCATTTTTACAACACTAACATTGATCCATCAGGAAAGAGAATGGAACCAATTAAGCACTTACTGTCTTCCATTCTGAGATTTTACAATGGTTAGGAAATAGATGTTAATTACTCAGAAGATAAGCTAGGAACAGAAGTAACCATAATAGGAAGATTGACATAGGCTAGAACTATTCAGCTAGTGTAAAATCCTTACAACATTAAAGAATTTGTATTCTAGTCCTTTTTTATGTATCTAATATTCCCCAGAAACCTTGGATATGAACCAGGTATGTTCCTTAATGTTTCCTATGCTTGGTATACAGATTATCATAGTTCCTTCTATTTCCCAACACTCTGACATTCAGATCTGGTTGGTAATGGAGTGGACTATTTCATAGGAGTGAGTTCCTCATCACTAAAAATGTTCCATCAGACACCAATATACTGATGGAGTATCAACCTGGGGCAAACCCTATAATCTCCAATATCCCTCACAGCCTTGAGATACAATATCTTTTCCCATCTTAGGTTGCCTTTCTCTTTTTTCTTTTCCTATCCTATGAAGTATAAGTCAGGTAGCACCTTCTCCTCAAATAATATTACTTCATATAATTGTTATGAGGAATTGATAAGCTATTGTGTGTGTGTGCATGTATAATATATATGTATTATATATATACATTTTTTTTTTTTAGCTGAGTACTTGGCATATAGTAAGTGCTCAATTTAATTCCTTTACTTGTTTCCCTCCAGTGATAAAAATTCACATTAATCTGTTTCTTTTCTGGCCTCCAAGAATATTTGGCTGTAATGAAAAAAATAGTAATTGCTTCTTTATAGTCATATTTTTCTTGAATTACTTAATATTCTATGTTATCTTTGTATTTCTTAAACACTAGATCCAAATCATCCTTTTATTTTTATTTCCCACACTTTATAGACAAGGGATGAACACATATGATCAATGAATATGGAAAAGGTAAGCTTTATAAAGAAGAACCAGTAAATAATGCAGTTTAAAAAATCACACTGTATTTAATCTTGTCACCCTAACAGTATTCATGTGGCCTGGAAAAGTCTTATGTTTTAGTTTTCTCATTTTAAAAAATGGGGTCAAATATCCCCACTATGCCTTTCTGGTTGTATTGTTACAACCAGAGAATTGGGTAAATATGAAGGACCGTTCAAATAATGCACTTTTATTTGGTTGTCCATTTAGTTACAACTTAGCATGTTGAGAGAATTCACAATGGAAAGGGCAATTCTTCTTTAGCAGACCGTCCTGATTACAAATGTTTGAGATATTTCTTTTCCAAAAAACAGAGCAAATTGCAGGCTGCCATGATATTCAGTGCAACGGTTCTTTACACATTTTTATAAAGATTAGAAAAAAGCTTACATCTCTGATGAACAATTAGGAATTTCAAGTCTATGAAAAACAATGGGTCACTACAGTTCTCCATCAAGACTCCATTAAGACTCTATTAAGATTGCCGCTTTGGGGCTACCTGGCCATGCTCAGGTGCTGTCCAGACCATAAAATAGTACTTAGTGCTATAGTACATATAGTACAGGTGCTGACCATAAAATGGAATTTTTTCCAGTGTATATCCTTGAAGCCAGACAAGGCCCAATCAGTGTTTGAGGTAATTGAGAGAAAGGGGAAGATAATTTCTTTTACACCTTGCAGTTTTGAAGCTTCCAAATATTCTTAAGTACATACGTATTTCTATTAATTATTCTACATACACTAAAAGGGATGAATGCTAAATTACCTTAAAGCTAAATATTTTTTCACTTCTCAGTATGTAATTTGCTTTACTTTTTTCTTCTATTTGATAGTTTCTTATCACTTCTATAATCCAGAGCCTAATTTTAACGTGGCTTGTAACTATACAAGTTTGCATGGAGTAAGGAGTCAATTTTATAGTACTTCAGGGCAAGAATAGCAGAGGGAAACAGCGGGTATTATTAACTCCCAACCTTATGAAAAAGATAAAAAGTATTTATTGCTACAAAGGAATGATATCAAACCAGAGCGGTAATGTTTAAGAGACAGAAACAAGAATTCAGATAATTTTACCAGGACGATTAATTTCTTTGTTGGTATTTTAAAATAAAGAAGGGAACTGTTTACATGAAAAAAAACAATATTCATTTTAGACATATTTTTAATTTATACATCTGATCACCCAAAATGAATGCTTATGGATAATCCTAAAAAGATATATTTTTGATGGTATATTTTTTGTTTTCAAATGTGATATTTTTGTATCACATTTTTCTGGTTCTGTTTTATTTGTTCACAATCTTGAAGGAATTGTTAACCCCATGTAAAGGAAAAAGGAAAGTCACAAATTAGAGGAAAATGAGTTTAATTTAACATGATCTAAATATTTTACATATAACATAACCATTAATAATTAAAATTAATTTATTTGGTTAGATCTAAATAATGCAGTTGGTAATTATTTCTTATATATAGTATCTCCCATTATTTTCAAAGTAAATCAGAATGAAAAGATAAATGTAGAAGAAAATGTTTAATTTTGGTTAAATTGGCAAATGAAACAAAGATAGCTCATCTTTATTCTTCTACTAATATAAATTTATCAAATTCTAGAGTGAGAAGGGACCTTAGAAATTTTCTGGTACAACTTATTCACTTCACTTCTCTATGAGTTTTAATGCACAGGAAATCCACGTGACTGGCTTTTTGTTACAAAGCTGATTAGGGATTGAGCTCGGACTTGACCCAGAAAATTCCTGACTTTGGGTGGAGGACTTTTTCACTGTATTATATTACCTGTAAAATGAAATTCAATCTAAATTGAGCTTTATATATATTTGGTCTTACTAGAGCTGTGGTTTTCTAGTGCTTCTCAAAGTGTCTAGATAAGAATAAATGGATATTAAGTATAGAGAAGCATTTTAAATTGGATTTGCAGGCATAAATTACATTTGGATTCATCTCTTTAGCCAGTATAAAAGGATATTTCAGCCAAAATATCTCTCGATTACTCTAGTTCCATTATCTTTCTCTCTCTCCCTTTGTCACTATGTCACTCTTTTATGTTAAACAAGAGTGTGGGGGAAGGAGGTCTTTTTTCACTTATTTATTCAGAACACCGTGGTGTTCTAAACTATAGGATTTGGTTCAAAATATTCCCATTTCATTTAATTGATTGCCACATAGATATTACAAAAAAAGGACTTGATAGACAAGAAACGAATATACCTGTGAATGCTTATCTAAGACTGGTGTGGAGTTTTGACTATTGGTTGCATGTTTAAGCTTTATCTATGCTCATGTTTAATTCCTGTGAGGAATTTAAGAATCTCCAAAATTACTATTTCTTGAGGAGTAGTACAGGAAGGATTATTTCATTTATTTATTGAATCATAATTACTGGTAAGACTGCTTTAAATAACACTAGTATGTAGCAATATAACTTCTAAGAAGTAATGTGAAAATATTGATGATATTAATCAAGTAAATAAAAGTGGGAAAGAAACCAGATTTGCATAAAGAAGTATTTCCAATTTCTTACTGGGTTTTAAAAAAAAATACTTTCAATTTGACATAACATAAAATAAGGAAAGAAAGTAATTGTTTGAATCAAATTGATTTTTTTCCTATTTTTCCTTAGCATTTCATAGATAAGAAAGTTTTACATTTGAGTGTAAATTTTTAAAAATTATTAGTACTCAACAAATAAAAGTGTATTAACTTACGGCCCTGATGCTTTCAAAATGTCCACCTTCTTTCTCGAAATCAATAGGCTGTCCTTTTAGTGTCCAGTAGAAAGTGACATCCAAACTAGCATCGTGAATTGCTTTGCAATTAAGGACAATGCTTTCTCCCACTGTTAATTCTGTTCTTTTAGGAGTAAGTTCTATTCTTGTAGGTTCTATAGAAATAAAAATACATTAATTAACATAATCAACACATAGTATTTCCCTGTATTTTATCTTTTAAGTAATAGAAAAAACTTAGAGAACCTATTCAATGCAGTTGCTCTAGATACATATCTTTAAATAAACTATTATTAATTGAAATATTACTTTTTTGTACACTAGGGCATTTTACTATACTTGTGTAGGGGACTGATGATTTAAAAGTTACTATTCCTATTAAGAAGTAAACATGGACAAAAAAGACAAGAAAATACATAACGATAAGCAGCATTTGGCATTCCTGAAGAGGGAATATTAGAAAAAAGAAGCTGTAGCCTCCCTGTCTACCTTCAAGGAACATTAAGTACAAGTAAAAGGATTTTTACAATAAAAAATATTACATATCTAAGGAATTAAAGTGCAGGTGAGTTTACTTCTTTGAAGGTTATAGGAAGCACTCCCCTCAAATTACTATTTTAACAGAGATAAAAATATAATATTGTTACTATACCAACTTATGCTTGCTTTATAGTCTACAAAACCCTTTTATGAATAGAAAAAGCACAGCTAGCTGATTATAAAAAAAATCACTCTTGATAAATTGTGGATCATTTAGTTGAGATCCAGAACAAAAGGCAAATTTTTGAAGGGAAAAATTTTTTGAGGAAAAAATGTGTGTGTTTAATTACTTAATGATTCAATTAAATTTTTAAAAAATAGATACACTTTTATTGTGTTTAGAGCCAATAAAGGCTAATACTGCCGTTACTTAAGCTTGTGATCCATTAATTGAAATTTGATTTTTTTAATGAAGTAGGGAGGTGATGGAGATAGATTTTGATTTAGTCATTTTTCTTAATTAGATTCCTGATTGTAGATATCTCAAGAAAACTGACACAAATGATTAAAAATTAGGTTAATTTTCCTATTCTATCTCTGTTTTTGGTAATAGCATAGGCTGAAAAAAGAACCATTTTTAACCATTGATAAGATCCTTTAATATGCAACATCTTTCCAAGCAGTCAGAGAGGAAAGTGCAATACCAGAAAAGGAATGTAAATACTAACATTCTAGAAGTCAGATATTCCCTGTGGCTTTCTAAACTCTGGCTTCATCAGATAATCACAGCATATTGTAGTTTAACTTTGTAAGAATTGAAATGTTCTGAGTAACTAAATATCCCATTTAACAGAAAACTGTTTTGTTATTATTTTAAAAATGTCTGTGAATCCAGCATTGCTTCCTTATAACAAAGATTGTTTAGCACAATAAGGCACAGACTAGAGGATAGAGTTGGATTCCCATAGTGTATACTATAAAAGAAGTTATCATTTATATTATCTTCCTTCCTTCTGTTAATGTTTTCTTCTTTTCTAAAAATATTCTAAAATATCAGAGCGCTGGCTATTTTAATGACATTTTTATTTCCCAAGAAAAAGAAAAGTTAATATTTCTATGTTTTTATAGCCAGGTATGATTCACTATATAATACATGCCCACGTGGAAAAAGTTGATTGAAGATTGAGTTCAATTGTGAAAAATATTTCTTTGCCAATTGATGGGGTTTTCTGTCTAATATATGAGATTTTCTTAGTACGAAAAAATGATATGTAGTCTCAAAAAATATTCTAGGCCAAAATCTAGTTCATGTTAGAACTAGAAGACTAACAGAAATATTTAAGTGGCAATATTTATAACACCAAAAAATGACAGTGTTTAAAAAATTCCACTGATGCAAACACCAAAGAGCAGGTCAGGTAACCATATATCTGATATGCACTCTGACACCATATAGTCATGTCCTCCTTCTGCTACTCCTTTCTGCCCCAGATCCCCAGTTGCAGTGATAACAAAGGAATATTACTGATTGATGTTAAAATTAACCTTGATAGAGGAAATATATTTTTATACTCTTGGAATACTTTTAAATTTTGAGACATCCAGTAAAACTTCAGAAAGCTTTCTTTATCTCCTCATATATTTTGTTCAAAGCAAAATATTTAAGTTTCTACCACCAAGGTGTTCTTTCCTTCATGGTCTTCTAAATAATGGAAAAGAACAATTTGGCTGTGTTAGTTCTATGTTTGCAATGTATCTTATGAATAGAAGCATGCACACACATATGTGTAAACACATTTTACATGCATATTATATTTATTCACTTTCTGACAAAGCCGTGAAACTATGCTTATAACACAGTTAGCCACATTTTCTTACCTTTTACAGATACTGAGGCTATGATTTCAGCAGAACCAAAGACATTTTCCCCTTGGCAAACGTACTTTCCCTCATCTGATTTAGAAGCATTTAGGATCCGTAGACTTCCGTCTGGAAGAATAGCTATTCTGAAAATTATTAAAAAAGGTTTTTTCCTCTTTTACTGTAAATCAGCTAAGTGGTAAAAAATTCTGATGATGTCTGAAACCACCTCCAAGGTAATAATAAATAAGACAAAGGGATCACTGTGAAAATATGCAGTGATAGTAGAAATGTTTTACCCTTCAAGAAATTATGCAATAAACCCACTTAATATCTTCTTTTATTTAAAAGGGTTAGGGAGTTACAGGTTATTTTTCTTTTGACACTTTTTGACAGTTAATGTTAAAACTTGTGGGAAAAGGTGATCCTGAATTTGGTTATTAAAACTTATACTATAATAACACCCAGTGATATTTTAATATGAAGCTTGAGTATTTTACTTCGAACCCAGAGTGACCTCAAAAATCAAATATAAAAAGAAACAGCATAAAAACATAGAGGAAAACAAGTACAGAACATAAAATTAATTGTATACAGCCAAGAGATGATTTATGGTGGTTTCTCTACAGTGCTACTAGTGCAGCAAGGGTGTGAAAACGAGACCTAATATTTGATACCTGGGCTGCTCACACTGCACTTTTTAAATATAAAAACATGAAACCTGAGTTTGCATTTGGGCTTTTTTGAGACCTTTGTTAAAAGTGGACCTTGAGTCTTATATGAAGGTGAAAACTTAAAGCATTATTAAAAATTTTTAGAAGTTCAGTGAAAATGAGTTTGACATTTGGGATTACCGTATTATCCTGTGTATTCATCATCCCAGAAATATATGGATTTCAAAGTTAATTAGTACTTTTGTTTTTTTCTCCCTTCTATACTCCTGAAATATAACCCAATTTTTCACCAATGCATCAACCTTCTCAAGTAACCTGATATGAAATAGAAGTGGTTGTTGTGGTTTTATTTGATATGCCACTAGAGTTTTAGGAAAGAGGAAGTAACATGTGTTTGGTAAGAACCAGTGGCCTTACTGAGCTTAAAATCCTAAAATTGGATTTCGCTAGTTCTGAAAAGAATAATTTATTCAATGGTAATATGATAATATTATGCTATTTAAGAAAGAGGAATATGGGTTAACTATGGTTAGTCAACATCCTTCATGTTATTTTAAAATATGTGTTCAATCTTGCCAATCACCCAGAACTGAGTTATTGAAAGCATTGGACCTTGTTACAATTGGATTAGATTCTATGTTGCTGACTATTGCTTATGAATTTATATTTACATATTGTTGTCAGTAAAGATATGAGTTTAAAAACATCATACTCTTTTCAATATATATCAAACTGTTTTACAACATAAGAGGGAAGGCAAACTTAGAGGCAAGCCAAACTAGGAATAGAGAATTTGCTTTTATACTTTGTGTCTAGGAGAGAAACTATCTTCAGACATTTGGAAAACACAGTGTCCTTAAAAGATATATAATCTGGGAGGAGGAGTAAAATGGCAGAGGAACAGGAGACCTAAATTTCGTCTGGTCCTGGGAATTCAGCTAGATAGGGATCAAACCATTCTGAACACCTACGAACTCAAAAGGAGATTGAAGAAAAGAATAGCAACAACTCTTTGAACAGAAAATCGACCTCTTTCTGGAAGGTAGGACGTGCGGAGAATTGAATCTGAGGTGATATTTGGGAAGATAGACGGTGGGGGAGGGGTCCTCCGTCAGCCGGCTACCGGCAAGTGATAGAGAAGAGGAGCACAAAATTAGAACTTGTAGAAGTCAGCTCTGCTGAGGGATGTCGCTCCAATGGCTAAGCAGGGGGGTGGAACTTTCGCTGGGACAGTGTGGTTTCAGGCCCCTTGGGGTCACAGAAAGACCGGGGGTGCCTGAGTGCGGCAGAGCTCCAGGTATCAGAGCAGGGAAGCCGGCCACAGACAGAATCAAGGAGTGCGCTCTCAGCTCAGGGTTGCTATAAAACATGATCTGCAGCACAGTCAGGTCACAGTTCTTCGAGCAGGGACCCAAAAAGCAGCAGATCCAGGGAGACTCCCCTTCCCCCCAGGGAGAAGCGGTGCAGGAGTGCACCACAGGGATCTGCTGGGTTTGGAGACTCCAGACGGGGTTGTGTGCCAGAGGTAGAAAAGCTCAGTCACAGGGTGAGCAGGGAGTGTGGCCAGAGACCAGGGACACGGGAGTGATTGACTGCTTTTCCTGGGGGCTCACTGAAGAGTGGGGCCCCGAGTTCTTCACTCCTGAGGGTGGAGATTGGGAGGCCACCATTTTCACTCTCATCCTCCAAAGCTGTACAGAAAGCTTGCAGGGAACAAAAGCTACGGAGAGCAAACCCGAGCAGATTATGTAGCCCAGACCCCGGCAAGGGCGGGGCAATTCTTCCTCCGGCAAAGACATTTGAAAACCACTGCAACAGGACCCTCCACCAGAAGATCAGAAAGAATAGCCTGCCAAGACCAAATTTACTGATCAATGAGAACAGCAGAACTCCAGCGCTAGGGGAATACAGCACATAGAATTCATGGCTTTTTTTCCTATGATTCTTTAGTCTTTCAAAGTTAATTTTTTAAATTTTATTTTTCTATTTTTTTAATTTTTCTTTTCCCCTTTTTCAACCAACATCTTATCAATCCCTTTTTAAAAAGTCTTTTTTTATTTTTCATTTTTAGAGTCATATTCTCTCCCTTCATAGTAGTTAACCTCATTTTTGGTATATATATATATATATATATATA